TATGATAGAAATACTTGGCTGCACTTTCCCATGCGCTCCTGTACCTTTTTTCAAAAATAATAAATCAGTGTAAGAAATGCCAAAGGCCCCTTGCCCTTATAATTTCTGTGCCAGAGGGCAACAAACCTTACTGAGCCTAGTTTTGACTGATCCACATTAAAGACTGGCTAAGATTTTGAATTTGATAAATTCCCTAAATTGTACATATTCCAAATTGTTTGTTATAGGGCTCACAAAGCCATATTAATTTTGGTCAGGATTAACAGACATGCTTTTCATTGATGGATTTCTGTGCCTTTGCTTTGTCACACTGATGTTGCACACATGCACAGTGGAGATGATTTTACTTTGAAGAATCAAATGGATATGTACATGGACACCAGTTGGAAAAATAACACCTCTCCCAATGGAAATGAACTTTTTTGTTAGGTTTTTTACAGCATTAGTAGCTCATTTTTTGTTCACTGGTCTGATATGAAAGAGGGTATGAGAGAGTGGCAGAGATATGCGACAAAGGATCACAAGTCGGATTCAAACCTGGGTCAGCCACATCATGGACTAAGGCCTCTACATGGGTCATGCGCACTAACCACCACATTTCATTCTGATGGACTGAATCGGATTGGAATCTTCTGTGTCACATTTTTATATGAAACATTTTTGGTTTGATAAGGCCTTCAATCCAATTATTTGTGTTCATGTTAGCATAGCTATTGATCTACATGAAAACCCCACCATTGCAGGTGGTATGGTTTGTATCCATCTAGCCTCCTGTGGCCTATCAGTTAATCAAATGACCAGTAAGAAGCCATTAAGAGTTCGTATCATAATACTGGGAAAGCAAACAGCCAAGTAAAAGCATGAAATATCTTAAAATCACTTCCTGTAGATGAGACAATTTCTCAACCCCACATCTGTACTGCTATTACTTCACTATGTTTTAACAATACTGTGCTCTAACAATAAATACTATCATGAATTTGTGCAAGCTTAACTGCTCAAATATACAATATATTGTTTATATAGTAAAATTTCAATATTTCTGCTGTATACTTGAGAAAAAATTCCAATAACAAAAAAATGTTTAAAAAAATTGTTCGGGAAATAACATTTTAGCAAAATAATGTGATATAGCTATTTATATTTTGGCTATATTTTGTGCGTCAACTGTAGAATTTTTAATTGTTTTATGAAAGCCATCTTTAAAATGGCATTTCCTTGTTGCTCAATAGCCACATTTTTTCTTTAAAGGAGATTAGCTGACTGATCTCTGACTGACACATATAGCTCATTGCTTAATCGGTTGATTTTTTTTCTGGTGCCAGTTATATCATAAAAAAAAAACAGTCAAATAGTTCTTAAGCCCATGATTTACACAGAAATTTCAACTACATATGTACATTGTTATATTTTCTTATCTGATAATTAATAGCCCTTAATTACTTAACTTTAACTCATATTTGAATTTTAGTAATGATTTAACAACTACTGAGCACACAGAGGGGATAGATCAGTCATACCAAAATTAGAAGTCTGATTGTAAAAAAAAAACATCATACATTTTTGCTGATTTAGGAAAAATGGCCCCAGAACATGAAGGCCTACAGTATCCTAAGGCAGAAAAGGTATCCGCAGCACTACTATCAGTAGCAAAAAAAAGCCCAGCAAAACTTCTTTTCCTTGTATAATTTGAGAATTTGCTTTTTATTTGGAGGGGTATATTAGTTTTCTTAAGAAATGCATACTTACAATAAGCTTGGTAATGAGGTCTGAATTTCCCCAGCAGGATTTTACCAATACCGTGTGTCTGAACATATATTAACCAATCCTTCCTTGCTTACACATATCTGGTGCAAATTACATCACGAGAGGTACGGAAGTCAGCAACAGCAATAAACACCGTATCAACAAAGATTGTAAAGAATTCCAGTGGCACTGAAAGAGATAAGATAATTTAAATCAGTTTTTTTTTTATTAAGCAAAACCAGTTTAAAAGAAACAAATTACAAAAATAAAAACAGATAAAAAAATATTGTGTCTTTTTTTTTATATATATATATAAGTGTAAAATTTGTCTCCCCTATGTAATTTAGAGCACTCGCAGATAAGAATACAATTTTTTGTAATGTAGCTGTTAATAAATCCCCATAACATCTGTTAGGGAACAACTTCATAGAAATTGTAGGTAATGCAAAACAGCAGAGTCAAAAAAATTTATACCAAAATGACCCCACAACAGCAACATTTTCTGACTATGCTCATTGTAATTTTTCATTTATGCTATACTGTTACATCTTTTATGGACATATAAAAAAATAGCAATACTCTTTTTAGGTAGAAAAAAACAAAATCAAAACATAGACGATCATGTAATAGAGTTATATTGAACTCTTAGCCTCACAAAAAATATCTTCTGTTTTTCCTTAGCCAGTATTTTTATTTATTTATTTATGATTAGACACATCAGACTCGACATGCAGCTGATTATTAAATGACAAAAATTTTCTTCATAGTGAATGCACCATGTGGATGGCATAGGTAATGGTGAACCAACGGGACATTGTGGTAGTGGACAAAGAGTGGAAAAAAGCCGGTGTGGTTGACACAGTAATACCAAGCGATTAAAACATCAGATTAAAGAATATCTCACTATCTCTCTCTCTATATATATATTATATATATATAGAGAGAGAGAGAGTGAGCACAAGTCACCCGACTTGCATGCAGAAGGTTGTGGTTGAAATAATCTGCCAGTGTGGGTCCTTGGGAGAGACTAAATGCTAACCTCATACAATGATGAGAGACAACTAAGTTAAAGACATGCCAGCTCAGACATTGCCAGGCCAAACAAGGTCTGTGTCAGGTGCTGGGGAACTAGAGCACCAAGATAAAAATTGGGCTACTGGAACAAGACGGAAATGGTCGAGATGCAACAACAAAGGCATCAGTGGTGCCTGTGGTCATTGGGGCAGTGACCCCCACACTTGAGTTTTGGTTACAGCAGATCCCTGGAAATACATCAGACATCTCTTGCAAAAAAGGCCAGTTCTAGGAACTGCAGAGATACTACGCAGAACCTTCAAGCTCACAGGCCTCTGGTAGGGGACCCACACTTGAAGGAAAAAAGGGAGAGGAAGAGTTTATTTTTTATATATATACACTCAAAAAACACTCAAACAACACATCCTAGATCTGAATGAATATTCAGATAATGAATGAAATATTCTTATTTAATACTTTCTTCTGTACAAAAATTCTGCAAAATGACCTCCAGCAGGCCACTGATGTACATTTATCTGCACATCCGGTTAGAAACTAACTCCGTTAGGATGGTATTAGGGCCCAGCATCCACAGATGGGGGTTATTCTCACAGCTCGATTCCGTGCAGGAATCTTGGCGTTTGCTAGAGAACACCAGGTGGACAAATCTGTCACTGATGGTCTGTGCTCTTCACAGGTTAAAGCAGGTTAACACTGAGCACATGTGACAGATGTGAGAGAGTCTGGAGACACTTTGGTAAGTTATCTGCTGCCTGCAACATCCTTCTGTATGACCAGTTTCACAGTGGGTCAGTAATGGTGGAGGTGACATTTCTTTGGAGGGCCACACAGCCCTCCAAGTGCTCACCAGAGGTAGCATGACAGCCATTAGGTGCCGAGATGAGATCCTCAGACCCATTGTGAGACCATATGCTGGTGCAGTTGGCTGGAGTGTGTCACCAGTTCCTGCAGAATTCTGAAGGCATTGAAGCTATGGACTGGCCCACCTGTTCCCCAGACCTGAATCTGATTGAGCACATCTGGGACATCATGTCTCGATCCGCACACTATCAAGGAGTTGCAGGATGCTTTAGACCAGTTCAGGGAGGAGATGGCTCTGGAGACCATCTGCCACCCCATGAGGAGCATGCCTAGGCATTGTAGGGAGGTCATACGGGCACCTTGAGGCCACACATAATACTAATCCTCATTCTAACCCGTTTTAAGGACATTATATAAAATTTGGATCAGCCTGTAGTGTGTTGTTCAACTTTAATTGTATGTATGACTGCAAATTTAGGCCTCCATTGGTTAAGATTTTTTAATTCCATTGATAATTTTTGTGTAATTATATTGTCAGCACATATCAGAACTTTGTACAGACCAAAGTATTCACTGAGAATATTTACTTTATTCAGATGTTCCCAGTGTTCTCTTTATTTTTTGAGCTTATAAAGATATCTTGTTTGATTGCTGATTGTTTTTAATGGTAGTAGCACCCCCTAGTGGTTAGGGGTTATGTGTAGATTTGGTCAACAACTACGCAGATCACTTCCAGTTAGATTTCAACAGTGCACAGTTGTTTCTACATTCAAGTGTTTATGAATCATCCTCAGAAAAACCATGCCTCTACAATTAGCATTAGCATACAAGGGTTGAAGAAGAGGTTTAAAAATGACAATGACAAAACTTTTAGGAGGAGGGTTGGGATGTTTAACATACTATCTACAGCACAGCAACAATTATAATCATTGCAGTTAAAAAGATAACATATTAAAGTGGAGAATTTGAATTTTTTCCTCAACTTCCCCAAATTAAATGTAATAGATAAAGCATTATATAATTTGTAATTTAGAAAATGTAATAAAATATTCACTGAAACATGTAAAAAATATTAAACTAATAATTGTCTTTATTGATGCCTACGAGAATATTAATAAACAGCAACAAACATGAATGATTTTAATTATTCACATATAAAACACGAGTCATATAAAACCTTTTTTTTTTTTTTTTTTTTTTTTTTACATAAAATATGGCAAAGACAGAATGTAACTGTAGTTTTCATTTTACTTTACAGACTGTGTGGAACCACAGATGAATTGTGGGGAGAATCATGTGCAAGTATCAGTTCATTTTTTTAAGTCCAAAAAAAGAGGAAGCAGTTAAAATAAGTTGCTGTAACTATGTGTTTTCTTGGGTTGAGAAAGAGGTTGCATGCACTTGGTTCTTTTTTTGGGGGATTTCAATGACCGTATGCTATTCATCAGGAAATTTTAAAATGTTTGATTCGGCCTAAATTGTTGCACCATCAATTAATTCTTCGTAACTCAAAACAAAACTGGACAGGGAGTGGCAGTTAGGCAAAACTAACCATTCAAAGCAAAGTAGAGGAAATGGTTAGTAAATGAAGTTATCTGATACAAAAAGTAAGATTTAAATTGTACAGTTAGAGAGTCAGTGAAAGCCTCACACCTCAGCGTCAGAAACTGACTTGTCTTTCCCCCGACTGATGACCATTGAGTTTGTGCATGTGTAAGAGCGGGACACCTCCTCCTGAAAGGCATTCTCCAGCACTTTTAGGATGGATTTGCGGACTTTATCCTTGAAGTCCTGGCCCATGAACACATAAAGCAGTGGGTTGAGGCAGCTGTTGAGAAAGGCCAGGCTAGTGGCGATGGGGACTCCAACTTCAATGATGTTGGTCAGCGTCTTGTTTGAGTGATCTGTCATGCTACTCACAAGCTCAGTTAGACCCAGGATGTGAAAGGGAGCCCAGCACAGGAAAAACGTGACGATGATGGCGGCAATTATCTTGAAAGGACGACTAGACTGGTTGGCCAGTGTGCGGTTTTGTCTGAGGCGGTGGATTATGATGGCATAGCTGGAGACAATGACGCTGAAGGGGATGACGAAGCCCAGGATGAAGCGAGTGACGACCATGGCCCTGTGGCGGAAAAGATGACTACTATCATCATCAGACAGTGCGAAGTTGTTGAAGCAGTTGATGATGTTCTCGTTCTCGTACGATGGTCCTGTGTCCCTAAAGACGAAGTATGGAGCACTGAGGATTAAAGCCAATGTCCAAACACACAGACTAATGCCGGAGGCCTTTCGTATATTCCTGTGGTTCTGGGCCCAGACCGGCCACACAACAGACACACATCTGTCCACGCTAATCACAACCAGAATGTAAACGCTGGCAAACATGTTCAGGAAGCTGATGGTGGTGTTTAGCTTGCACATGAACTTGCCAAATGGCCAGTGGAAGTCCATAGCTGTGTACGTCACACTCAGTGGCAGGAAGGCTGTGAAGAGGAAGTCAGCCAAGGCCAGATTCAGGAACCAAACCGTGTTGACGGTCTTCTTCATTTTAAAGCCGGTCACCCAGATAACCACTCCATTCCCAAGCACGCCCAACACAAATGCTAGCGAGTAGACGATGAGGGACATAATGTTGAGGGATTGCTTTAGCTTACTGGGCTTTTCGTTGTAGTGATGGTCATCCTTGTAGTCTTCATAATACCAGGAGTCATTGCTGGTTAGATCAGTAAAATCACTGATAGGGTATGAAGTAGTTGTCATCAGCTCCATCATAGTTGAAGAGCCTGCAGGGAATTACAAAATGTTAGATTTGAGTTTTCGAAAACTTATGGAAACAAAAAACAAGTGAATGGTTTAAGGAAATAAGCTAATATGGGCAAAAACTAATTTTGCTGAACCATTTTCCCTGTTACAAGCATATTTAGTCTTATTGAATGTAAAGCAGTCTTTTTCATGTTTACACTCGTATAAATCAAAATAACATTTTATATTCATGTCTTTGAGTCCATCAAGATAGTTTTAAGGTTGGATTTAGTTTTTGAAATCAACAGGACCATAACAAACTGATTATTGAATGTGGGTTCTTGATTGTTCGGTAAATTGTATGATTAAACCCATACAAGAATATTATTCCAAACAAAAAAGAAAGAGAAAGAAAGAAAGAAAGAAAGAAAGAAAGAAAGAAAGAAAGAAAGAAAGAAAGAAAGAAAGAAAGAAAGAAAGAAAGAAAGAAAGAAAGAAAGAAAGAAAGAAAGAAAGAAAGAAAGAAAGAAAGAAAGAGAAAGAAAAAAGCTGCAGCGGTGAAGAAACTCTGCTGTGTGGTTATAGATATTCTAGTTGTTAATGTCGTCAGAGCTGCTGTGCTTTGAATCTGTAAATTTTAATTCTAAACAGGATTTAGAGAAAGTTGCAGGTGACACAAATTCCATGTGAAAAAAATTAGTAAGTGCTTCATTAGAGAACGTTCGTCCAGTGAAAATGATCGGTTGTGTTGCTTTTGTTTCAGAGATATTAGAAATTATTTTTCAGGTCATCCAGACGTCCCCATCTCCCATTAAGTTGTGATCCGAATGAAAGAATAAAAAAGTAAACCACTTTCGGGTTTTTTAAATATAGGTTTTAGGCACTAGTGTCCCTAATATATTTTATTGAATTTTTTTTTATAGTAGGCAGACAGGAAATGGGATTAGAGATGGGGTGAAGACATGCAGCAAAGGCTACCAGGCACAGACTCAACCCCCCCTTGTATCAGAGCAATATAGTGGGATGGTGACATCATCTTCCAAAATAAAAACTGATTATATCTAAAAGACACCAAAGCAACAATGAAGCTTTGAAAAAGTAGACCACTTTGGTTCAATTTGGAGCTTGATGAAGGATAGTGCCGTCTGGATGACTTAAAAAATAACCTTCTATATTTTTTACACACAAGTAACAGACACAATAAAATAATAATAATACAATAATAAAATTATGAGGAGATTTTTTTTCAAACATCCTAATAGGAAGCAAGCCAATTGACAAAAAGTAGAATGAAAAGTACCCCCCTCCAAGATTTTTTCTGTTTGCTTTGTCTGCATGCATTAATTTTTCAGATGATTATACACATTTAGGAAAACCTGAGAAGGTACAAAATTCAGCTTTTAAATTGTGACTGCAATAAGCCCGTCCAGACAAATTTGGCCCTATGCCAAGTTTAATTTTACTAGCAGCTTTCAAGTCTTGTGCTAGACCAACTTCAATTCCTATTATAGCAACTCTGCACGCTGGTCCTTTACCACAATGAATCATGACAGAAATAGGCAAACGTATTTGAAAAAAAGTAAAATTAAAGTAAAATATCAGTTCCCAGTTAAAAAATTCCAGAAAAAAAAGGCTCATTTCATATCTGCCAAACAAAACTCATAAAATATATGGGAACTAATAAGAGAAATTTGGAACTTTCTGCATAGTGATAATAATGTGACTTGCAAAATAAAACTAACAAAATTGTTTTATAAATAAAACAAACATATTAACAGTTTTGTAGTCCAGTAGTAGCAGTTTTGGAGCTCTCTCTGGCTTCAGAACCTGACTGTGTCGTTTCAACCGATAACACTATTACATTCTGAGTTTATATCTCTGAGCTAAAATGCACACGGGATTCTAGGGGGGCAATGACCTGCAAAATACTGACAAATGCACTTCTAAATGCTTTAAAACTGTTTATTTGATTATTTCCTAACAAAGCTCAACTTTGATCTGATTGTAGTCATGTTTAAAAGTCCTCAAATGAGGCATAATTAGGACAATTCTGCCAGGAAGAAGGGTTAAAAACTCTACCACAAATATGTAGAACACCGAGCTGCAGCAACCAAAGCTGAAACAAGCTAGGGGATTTTCGGTAAAAAAAACAACAACCCAAAGAACACACTGAAACAAACAAAAAAAATTGGGCAGATCAGAAGCCCAACCTTCACACTGGAAAGATAAATAGAAGCTGGCAACCCTTAGATTTCAAATGCAAAAATCTTTAGGAGCAGTTTTGCTTTTGACTGTCTCAAACTTTGAGTTATATTTCAATTAATCCAATAAGTATGAAAGTAACAGAGGCGTTGAAAATGTAATGGAAATGAGTGGGAATTGTCATTTTAGTAAGGGGCTGAGTGGGAAGACACCGCGCTAATGATGTACAGTAGGTGACTGACAATCCCCTGATAAGCTATTTCCCCTGTCACTCCCCTGTTGGCAGCTCCCTTAGAGGTGGATTGTGGACATATCTCCATCACACCGAGGTTTCTCAGGTTGTGTTGCTCATCCAAGATGTCACATCAATGCGAGCTGTAGCAAGAAGGTTTGCTGTGTCTATCAGCAGAGGGTCCAGAGCATGAAGAAGATACTGGCAGGTAAACCAGGACATGTGTAGGAGGCCATAGGAGGCTGTAGGAGGGGGTAGGGAAGCCTTTTTTTGGCGCCTGGCCCTCACTGTGCTAGCAAGAGGTACTCTGAGTGCCATCAGGTACCGGGATGAGATTGTCAGACTCATTGTGAAACCATAAGCTGGTGCAGTGGGCCCAAGTTTCCTTATGATGCATGATAACATTACACCTCATGTGGCTGAAGAAAGTCAGCAGTTCCTTCAGGACGAGGGCACTGATGTCATGGACTGTGATTAAACCTTTACTTAAGAAACCATCTCTTGACATAGATTACCAAAACGACAAGGTCAATTATAGACCAATATCTAATCTTCCTTTCTTCTCTAAAATTGATGTAAAAATAGTCGCTAAACATATTATTGTCTGTTTAACCAGGGATAAAAAAAACAACAACAACTAATTAGTCCATCACTTAATTTTGATGGGTTTAAATTGATCTCAGATAATAAAGTAAAAAACCTTGGTGCTATTTATCTATTTTTTTATCTTAATTTTTGTTATCTTTTAGACAGTAGGCAGACATGAAAGAGAGAGCGGAAGACATGTAGCAAAGGTCAACAGGTCAGGACTTAAACAGGCAATGGCTGTGATAAGGACCAAATCCTCTGTAAATGGGTCTCTCATTCTGCAGTATTTGTCAGTTCAGCCTCTATGCTCTCTCTGCTATTTCTCATCATAGTGGCCTCATCTGGTCTGTGCCTGTGTGATTGAGACACCATCCTTGAGAGAAATATCAGCTATGCTGCTGCCATCAACACCTTTGTTTAAAGATGTTGGAGCTTGGCCTCTCTTTAAAAAGGGGGACTGGAGAGTGTGTTCTAATTACAGAGGGATCACATTCCTCAGCCTCCCCGGTAAGGTCTACTCCAGGGTGCTGGAGAGGAGGGTCCAGCAGATAGTGGAACATCGGATCCAGGAGGAACAATGTGGTTTTCGTCCTGATTGCAGCACACTGGGCCAACTCTATACTCTTCATCGGGTGCTTGAGGGTTCATGGGAGTTTGCCCAACCAGTCTCTCTGTCTCTGCCATGGCTGCCCCTTTTCACTGTTTCTGTTCATTACATTTATGGATTTCTAGGTGCAGCCACAGAACTTAACAGTGTCCGGTTTGGGAACCTAGCGATATCATCTCTGCTGCTTGTAGATGATGTTATCCTGTTGGCTTCGTCAAACCAGGAACTCCAATTTTCACTGGGGGTGGTTTGCAGCTGAGTGTGGGGCGGCCGGTATGAGGATCAGCACCTCCAAATCTGAGGCCATGGTTCTCAACCGGAGAAAGGTGCTCCGTGGACAGTCCTTGTCTCAAGTGGAGGAGTTCAAGTATCTCAGGGTCTTGTTCACGAGTGAGGGATGGATGGAGCGTGAGATTGATAGATGGATTGGTGCAGCGTCAGCATTGATGCGATCGCTGTATAGGACTGTAGTGGTGAAGAGGGAGTTGAGTCGGGGGGGAAAGCTCTCGACTTACTGTTCAATCTACGTTCCCACACTCACCTATGCTCACGAGATCTGGGTAATGTCCGAAAGGACAAGATCGCGAATACAAGCAGCCGAAATGAGTTTCCTTCGCAGGGTGGCTGGGCGCAGCTTTCGTGATCGGGTATGGAGCTCAGTTACCCGGGAGGAGCTCAGAGTAGAGTTGTTGCTCCTCTACATCGAAGGGGGGCCAGTGGAGGTGGCTTGGGCATCTTTTCCGGATGCCTCCTGGTCACCTCCCTCAGGAGGTGTTCTAGGCATGTCCCATTGGGAGTGGGCCCCGTGGAAGGCCTAGGACACGCTGGAGGGCCTATGTCTCTGAGCTGGCCTGGTGTCTCCTTGGGGTCCCCCCAGAGCAGCTGGAGTAAGTGTGCGTGGATCGGGAAGTCTGGGCATCTCTGTTTAGACTGCTGCCTCCGCAACCCGACCCCGATAAGTGGAAGAAAATGGATGGATGGATAGATGGATGGAGCTTGACCGGTTTCTCTGACTGTGGCTAACTGTATGCGCTCTCTTTCATCCTCTAACATGGGGGCTGGCTTGAAGCTCCTCTGCCCGGCTGTGTGTTTCATGGAGGGGGCCATCTGTGGAGCTCGTTGAAAGTAGCCTTTTGTATCTCTGCTTCTTTTTCTATGTCTGCTTCTGTCTCCTCGGCAGATGGCCGCTCACACTGAGCCCGGGGCTAATGGAGATTTCTTCTTGTTAAAGGGAGTTTTGAAAGAAATTCCAGCTCTTTAGGCAGCACTAAAATATTTCAAATGGGTTTTCCACCACAGAAAGAAAGGAGATTTGCAGTTTACACCCAGATACATGCATGCAGGTAGAACTAAGCACTTTTTCACATAAAGGTTACTCTAAAATCCTGTAACAATGGACTCCTTTCAAGCAA